TTTAAGTATCGTGCCCTTGGCCGTGGCCGTTGGCAACTCAAAAATAGCCAATTCAAGTTGGCTCGATTTCCAGCTGCTGTTTAAGGAGTAAGTGGACTCGACAGAACTACAGAAACTTAGCCGGCCAGCCGTAATTAGAGTGTAGTTGCGTTATACTTCGCTGATGATATCGAAGTACAATTTGTCGGTTGTTTTCTCAACTTTCTGCGGTGTTTCTCTCTAGGTTTTTATTTATCTTGTCATTTGAAAAATTGTTTAAAAAACGTTTATGTCCAAAGTGTATTTATCTGGGCGAGTCTGTTACGAAGTGATAACCTTCTACCCTTTAGCTTTCCTTTATGACTTTTTTTTTATATGGTATAAACTTCATTAAGAATTAGCTTTCTTTGCCGCTCGGGCTCAATTTAATTTGATTTTCGGGTAGTTCTTCAATAAAAGTACCTACCATTGCAAAGGGAAAGAAAATGATAAAGTAACTTGTTTTCCCTAAAACAGATTTAGTAGGTTTTTTTCTTTTTTCTTGTTGTTTTCTTAATTTAATCTTTCAAACAGACCTGCAATGTTTTCATTTTTAATTCAAAACGAGACAAAACACAGCCAAACACATCGTCTTTTAAGTAGATTAGCAGCTGATTCTTTTACATTTGATTGATTTTTAGCATTGATCACAGACGTAAAGAATGTATAAAGTGTCAAAAACCCTTCATTGAACATTATTTGATTTTAAGATTGAACGAGCAAGCCGTCTGGAAAACCGAAAGGAAAAATCGGGTCGAGAGCCACTTTTCCAAAGATTAAAAGATACTTAAGACAGAACGAGCGAGGAGACGCAGTAAGTATTTAAACAAATTTGAAATGGGAACATTCAAAACTGCAGATAAACTTTTCAATTTTTTTAACGTTACTCAGCAGCCTCATTTATATTTAATGACCAGGATAGGTCGGTCTACCGCTATGAGTGTTTTGCGCTTAAACCTACCTTTATCTAAGTAAGGGAATGACATAATCATCTCACTCGTCTTTTCGTCGTTTGCTTTGTTTTTTGGCTCAAGTGTCACTTCTTTTGGTTGATTCAGGACATTAAGCATTTGTCGATGAGCGTGAAGCTGGATCTCGACGTGAATCAGTCCCGCGAAACAATCAACGGTGAGAACTAACGATGAAAACACCAGCTTGTTATGAACTGGGTTCATCTTTGACTTCTTCATACTCTGATTTGCGAGGTTGCGAGATCTCGGAATATAAAATCTACGATGTAGGGACAGTGTATTAACTTACACGTTTGAAGAGACCTTGAAAGAAGTCCGCGAGGCCTTTTAGTCATATAATCCTTCAGTCTGACCCTATGTGGTTTCCTGAGTTTTTATTGGATTTGATTCAGCTGCATCCATGTAACTGAATTATGGTTTCAGTTTTTATGTTAACAAGTTTTTAGGGTTGTTGATGAAAAGCTAAATGTCAGGTAAGAATTAATTTTTAGAAAAAAAAACGTGTATTGATCTCGACGGGGAGAGCACCTCAGTCATGGCGCTCCCCGGTGCATCGACGTTACTCCAATTCAAGAGATCCCCGCGGCGCGCTAGCAACAGGTTTTTTCCCTAAATTTTATTTTTTCTTTTGTTTCTTTTGCTCCAGGGACGGACTTTGCCGAAAAGGAGGGACTGCTCCTAGTCTAGCTCTGAGAAATGCTTTTCATCACAGCCCTGAACTTTTCTTCTGAGTGGGAAAAAATCTGGGTAGCCTCACAGAAATCAAGTCAGTTTAGATTTTCTCAAAACGCGACTTTGCTAATACGGGCATCCGAATGAATGCTGGGATTGCTTTCGTTTCGGTTCATAAAAACGTAAAACAATACCAATCTCATCCATTCATCTTAACTGAACATGTTAGTAAAGGATTTGAGATATACCGAAAGACCTAGCTGTTGTAATTAAGAATCAAGAATGACTTGACAGGAGCTACCAAAGGCCCAAGATAAACACCGAACGTTATAAGTAGATAAATTAATTTTTTAATAGAGGTTTTGCACAGCAGCCATGTTGGATGGCAGGAACAATAGATTATTTTACCCATGGGGAAAAAAATTTCTTTCTCATGCAAAATATTTTCATTGTTCCTGCCATCCAACATGGCAAAACCTCTATACAACCTTTTATGATATTTTATGACAGATATGAGTAACTAGTTTTTCACATTTTTAATCTTTTTATTCTATTGTAATTTAGCTGAACTTTTAATCTTTTTGTCTTGTAACATTAGACATGCATTTTATCTAATGAGCAAAAGGACATTTTATTTATTTATTCTTTAATTAATAAATGGAGTTATGAGGAGTCATCATTGATCAAATGCGACTTGTGACCTTTTTTAGCCCCTACGCCTGGTGTATTGGCGCAACGTGAAGCTTCGACACTGAAACCTGATGTCAAGCAAAAGAATTTTAAAAAAGGCAAGTTTCTAACAGTTCTTAGTTCCCGAGGTAAAGTAATAAACCTAAAAACTTGAAGAGAATGTGTTTTTTTTTTAATTTTTAATTCGTTTACATTACAGGTAAACAAAAACCCGTGTAAGTAATTACGTTTACTCCATTGTTCAGTTAGCAGCTTCTGTGTAACTCTAGCACAATGTCTGTCACCTTATGCCACACCGTAACACTTGAGATTTCCTAGTGTATAAAATCCTTCTTCATCTAAATTATCCAAGTCTCCGAGTCTAACTTGTGTCACGGGGAGAGCAGACTTGTCTGTCAACAGACCGCTGTCCTCTCTCCAGCCACCGGCACTATTGTGACAATTACATTTGTTGCCATTGGAACAAGAATTTGTTACTCCGCATGCGCACATGTTATCAGAGCCTGTTGCTCCTCCCCAGTAGTTCATCCTTGTTCCATCACGTGACACCCACCAAGCATAATTCTCCTGAATGAAAGCTATGTCATTATTGCACTCAAACTTGATAAACTGTTCACAGTTCTGTGAGACTCGAGCGAGTGCTACCAGCTGAGCGGTGCTGACCCCAGTGTATCGCACATCTTTCCTGTAACATCCTTGCGAGCCACAACCAACAGATTTGTAATTAACATAGGTTCTCCTCTCACTGTCGTGACTGATGACCGTCACACCAACTCCACCTTTGTCAGTCATGTCACAGTACACGCTGAAGGGTGTCACGCCTCCTTTGCCATCAGGGTCAATCACATAAGTACCTGAAGATGTTCCTCTATAACGTATTCTAATTTCACTACAAGAGCTTAACGATGAGTTTCTTACTTCAAGGAGAGTACTTGCTGTTATGGATCGATAGAAATTTCGCGCGATGCAAGTGTAGGATCCAGCATCCTCAGGGGAAACAGTTTTAAGAAGCAAAGACCCATTTGAATAAAAGATATGACCTGAAGGAAGACCTTGGCCTGCCCTCTGCCAAAGGATTAGTCTTGCTCCTTGTGCATGACAATTCATTTTCAAATCATTAGAAACGTTTACCATAATTTTACTCGGAGGAGGTAAAGTAAACATGAGTTCCTCCAGCGCCGTAACTTGTGCGAAAGCAAAGTCCTCGTTTAGTAAGTTCTTTGCCAAACATATGTAGTCTCCACTGTCTGTTTTAGTCACATTGGTTATTTCCAGTCTGCCATTAACAACTCTTGATCTTTCTTCTGACATGTGACCGACTGCTTTCCGCCACGTGACAGTTGGTGTCGGCTTACCAGTAGCTAAGCAGACCAGACTCGCTTTGTGTCCTTCTTCAACAATAACAGATAAGGGTTTTTGGATGATCGAAGCGCCAACTAGTTTAAACATTGAAAAAAGAATATGTGAGATAACACGATCATTTGCAGCGTAGATTCTATGACCTAGATCCCGGCTTTGACAGTTATAAATTACTGTAAAGTAGTGTTATTTCGATTCACTGACCGTTTTTCTGAAAACTCCTGCGCTTTCGTATGATCTACCGTATGGTTACTCTTCTCAAAATTTCCGCACTGTGACATTTTCGGCATTACGAGAGCTCTAAACTAGATTTCTAGAGTTGTGTTTTTTAACATGAGGATAAACGAAAGTTCTTTTCCTTTAGGGATAATATCATTCGAGAGTAAATAAGATTAATACGATTTTTTATGTTCATTATCGAGTGATGCAAGCAGGGAAGTTTATGCATGGCTCTTAGATACAGGATAATTATTTCTCACCTTGAACAGTCAGTTCAGCCAGGGATTTCGTCATTCCAAGAATATTTCTTGCGACACAGGTGTACATTCCACCATCTTCTGACCTTACGTCATTAATCATCAGGCCTTCACGTGACGGAACAATTCGTTCGTTCGCGAGAAGAGTGGAGTTATCCTTTAACCATGTGACTTTAGGCTGTGGGTTTCCTTCAACTTCACATTGAAAAGAGGCTGTGCCAGTCTCGTTTATCACTATTGGTATCGGAGCTGTCACAATAGAGGGGGCTGAGATAGATTTACCAGGCTCGCCCTTAGCTCCAGGAGGGCCCATAGGCCCGGGAGGTCCTTGGATGCCCTGAGGACCATGGTTTCCTTTTGGGCCCATTATTCCTTGTTTCCCAGGAGGTCCGTGTTTACCTGGTGGGCCTATTGGTCCAGCTGGTCCCGGAACTCCGTTTGGCCCAGGTGATCCAATTTTTCCTGAGGGGCCTCTCTGACCGGGTCTCCCTCGTCTTCCCCTGATGCTTTTTGGGCACTGAACGCTACAAGCATGGCTGTTAATAGCAAGTCGTACTTCTTTTCTGATCACTTCACGGTCGATGCTGACATTGGCGTTCGATCTCCCATCTGTATTTTTCACGTGACGTTTTTGACGAGTTTGAAGGTCTGCAAGAAACTCACAGAATAACTACCGCTACGTACCGACTTAGCTTATTTCACTTTCCGAGATGTCTAAAGCTTCTGTTTTAAAACGTGGGAGTCTGCGGAGCAGAACCTCCTATAGAGCTACAAATTTACATCATCATGCACTTGGCCCCATCTTGTAAGTGAAGTCGTCTTGAACTCAAAAATGGCCTATTCAAGTTGGCGCGATTCCTAGCGGCTGTTTCGGAAATGAGAGGACTCGACTAGACGACTGGAAAACTAGAGATTAGTTGCGATACCGCGACGAATTATCTGTTCAGAGTAATTACAATGCTTGATTTGCCCCATGTCTCTTGAGGTGCATGTTATTTATTCTCCCGTATGAATTGTTGTTTAAATATCGTGTCCAAAGTATATTTATCAACGCGAGTTTTTACGAATCCATAACCTTCTACGTATGAAAAACTTGAGATTAGTCGCGATACCGAGACGGTTTATCTGTTTAAGAAATAATTTGAATATATCAACAAAGTTGAAATGGTAAATTGGCCACCGTTACGATTATAAAAGCTGACGTTTCGAGCGTTAGCCCTTCGTCGGAGCGAAGAGAGGAATTGTAGGTTGTGTGTACTTTTAAAGGCAGAAAATGGAGCTACGTTATTGGTGGGAACATGGCAACGAGAAAAACACGAATAAATTAGTTGCAGAAATACTTGTGCTATCAAGACTCGACTATTGTCACCTCTGCCGCGATACTTGCTGAAGCGCCTTCAAAAAATTGAGTTTGCTGCCGCAAGTTTTGTTTATGGCAGATATGTTAATAACATTGGAGACATTTTTAAGCTAAATTGGCTTCCTGTGGAAGAAAGGAGGGATTTCAATTTGCTGAAGTTGACCTTTAATGCGCTTTATTTTAAACAGTGGCTAACATATCTGAACTTACAACGAGTCCCTATACGTAGAGAGCTACTCTCATCAGACTGTATTAGACTACAGGTTCTTTTAGAAAAGGAGACCTTTTAAGACACCTCGGCCGTTTTATTTAATAATCTACTAAAGAAACTGAAAACCTGTGAGGATTTGCATATTTTTGCATCGCGTTTATTTAAATACTTAAAAAAGCGGGCGAAGGCACGCCTTAAGTAATCTTAAATCAGTTTAAGTTTTAAGTGTATACAGACTGGAATGTTTAGCTATTTTAAATGCTATAATGTATTTAGTTAGTGACAGATGAAGAGCCACTTTGTGCAAACACTGTCAATAAATTTTACTTTACTACTACTTATTTTACTTACTAAAGGACTTGACGTCCAACCAGAAATGGTTGACTGACTTTCTTTGTGGCGACATTCATCGTACAAGGGTCATAAAGAGCGATTCGCAGTCATCCGCGAACGCAAGTAATTTAAACTGGCATTATTTGAAAGCTTTAACGATTGGCAATCGCGATATTCGTATTACGCCCGGCCCCGTTCGAACTCTCAGCAAACCTTCAGGCTAGAATTGGCGGCCTTTAATTCCAGTTCATTGTACATGACCGTGGAATGAGGAACACTAGCCTAAAGTAACATCATCACCCGTGATACACGTGGAATTACGGGGTGATTGTGGTGATCGGGGTGTCCGGTGCGAAGCCGGATGAGCTTGATTGGCGTAACTCGCAGACGTGTCTTTGAAGGGATTATGTAGAGGGCAAAGGAGACTAACTAGAACCGAGCGAAGTGGCTCTAAATCAGCCCAAGAAATTCACACGATGCAAAAAAACAAGCCCTTCATCGCGGTTAATTTTGTCCTTATTAAAAAATAGTCCAGATCTTTTTTAACGTTGAGAGCGCGACTGTTCAATCCCATGCACATCCTTATATTTATCACCAGCTATTTTGAGTTTTTTTGTTTTTAATTTCATTATGGCTACGCAGGTACCGCCGGTTTCTTTGGTATCAGAGGTTCCGCTGTCTGCTGATCCATAGTTTAGTAACATTCATTTAAAGTTGTTGTCTCCAAAGTATTTTTATCTACGTGTGTTACAAATCCATATCCTCCAGCGTACGGATTATGCTTTTCTTTGTTTTATTTTTGGTGAAAACGGAATAAAGATTCAGCATCCCCGGCTGTTGGAGCTAAATTGGGTATTTCTTTTATAAGAGTAACCATCAAAGGGAGAGAAAGTGTTACCTCGTAGTTAAAACAGCTGTTGCTTATATTTTTGAATTTTAAAAGAGACTTGAAAAGTTTTGCTTTGAATCAGAACAACACGAAACACAGTCAAACATATCGTCAAACATATTGTCATAAGAATAGACTCTTTGAAATTTGATTGCTGCATCAATGTAAACTTAAATAATTTTTAAGCTGTAAAAGTAACCTTTACTGAAATTCTCCCTGTAATGAAATTGAACGAGCTCGTAGGAAAAAGCTAGGAGGGAATAAACTGTGTCGAGGAAGTGTTTTTCTTGTCTTCAATGCTGAAAGGCTCAGCTTCCGACCTACCAAAGTATCATCCCGTATTGCTTGCAATACACTAACTTCCTTGTTTTGAGTAACGCTTTTGATGGCAATGACGCTTTTGTTTTTACTGCGATAGAAATTGTAAAACCTCAAATCATTTGAGTACTCGCCGACCTAATTTTAATTTAGGCTAAGTATCCTTTGAAATAATGATGATGTGCACTTATTAAAAGATAGAAAAAGCGGCGCTTCTTATCATCAAAAACCATGCGTGACCCCTTGAGCTTCTTCAAAGAAGCTTTCGTTGTCTTGAGATATTCTACGGATCATGGATAATTTGCTCCCGCTAATTATTACGAAGTTTGAAGTATCCAAACATTTTGGTTTAGTTGAAAGCCACTTCCTTTAAACTCAGAGATACACATGAAAGAACAAGAAGATAAAAATGTAGTCGAATTTTAAATAACCTTCAAAATTGCAGTTCAACCGGCTTTTGTAGGGTTACTCAAGCCCTGAAGTAAGTAATTCCAGTAAAAACTATGAGTCGTTCTACTCTTCTGATTTATACGTTCTTAAACCCACCTTTTTTTGAGTAAGGGTATAAAATATTCATCTCATTCATCTTTTCGTCGATTGCTATGTTCCTCAGCGCGAGTTTCACGTCTTTTGATTGATTCAAAACTTGAAGCATTTGTCGATGAGCGTGAAGCTCGATCTCGACGTGAATCAGTCCCGCTAAGCAAACAACGGAGAGAAATAACGTCGAAAACACCAGAGAGCTAGAGATTGGTTTTGTCTTTGATTTCTCCATATCGTGGAACTTACGACGAAAGTGCCGTAAGCTCTGTCAAGCATGAAAATAGTGTCTTTCACAGAGTGCAACACACGTATTTATAATCACAACGAGACATTACGTGTGCGTATGGAGTTCTTATCAACTTTCGCTGGTCACGTTGCATGTCCTTTTGAGTCAAAGTTTCATCACTTCCTTCAGCTTGAGAGTATTATTTATAGTCACAGCGAGGCGTTGGGTGGCATATATGGTTTTTATCCTATTGTGAATACGTTTTTCAGTATTGTCTTGCACTGGTCATAATTCGTCTCTTTTATAATCAAAATTTCATCAATTCCTATCATATCTTATGCTGAAGAGGAGAGTTCCAGTAATTGGAACTCTCCCGTTCAGTGTAAGATTTTAACGATTCCAATTC